AGAAAGTATTGCTCCCTGTTTTTCCATGTGTCCATCTGAGATAGCTGAAGCATGGCAAAGCATGATGTGTCAGCAGCAGAGTCTGCTGGACACTCTGTGTGTGATCCATCTGTATGTTTTTCCATGGTGTTCTCATGGATGAAGGGCTTCACAAACGCTGGAGTGAAAAGGAACTGTGGAATGTTTATGGAAGGGGGTGTGGCAGTGACAGAGTAGGGCCCAGACGTTTCCTGATGTGACCTTGAGCAATGGGAAGACTTGTCGAAGGAAGGTGGGAATCATTGGGAAGGCCACGGGCCATGTCTTAAGGACAAGAATGAGAGGTGATCTTCCTGTCTTGAGAACTCGTACCCCAGTGAGGGGAATAAAAGATACCTAGAGGAAACTGTGAGGCAGAATGGACACAGTGTGTTCCTGCCTGGGTTACTTTCCAGGGCTCTGAGGTTCTGGAGTTGAAGGCCTTGTGAATCTTGAGATGCTGTGTTGTATTGAAATGCCCTCAGTGTCCTTTGAGGTTATGAAGATCTCCCACTACAGAAAGTAATTTGTGCTGCTGTGTCATTGCCAGAGGAAATGTGTTATTAAGAGGAGATGCAATGCAAAATGCTGAATGTTGTTTGATGAACCATTTCTTTCTTGTGTTGAGAAAGTTATTATGAGAGGGTCACACTTCAACCTGCTGTCCTTGTGTAGTTGTGTGCATCCATAGTAGCTTCCTCAGCTGTTGATTTTGCCGTGGTGGTTCCTTGCTCCTTGTCAAGTGAGATTTATAAGAGGATGTGATGAGGAAGGGGGTGTAATCTCTGTGTGTGTGTCTGTGTGTGTGTGTGTGTGATTTCCCCTACTTGTACACTTGCAGAGTCAGTCTCAGTATAAATGGCATATCCCCTGGTCATGTTTAACCCTGAACAGACCTACCAAACCCGTCTGTACAGCCCAGCTCTGGTATTATATCATAATTGTCCCACACAGTTGATTTTGGGGCTCTGCTTGTGCTTTAGCATTTGGTGTGGTTCTCTCAAAGGCAAAAAAATCATATGAACCAGCATCAGAGCTGTCTCTCTGATCACAGAGTCTTTAAGATCTCTAATGCGTAGCCCTGTGGTGTTTCCATCTGAGATGGCTGAAAAGGCACGGAACATTTAGGGTGAATTTCACACAGCCTGCCAGACATTCTGAGGATTTGCATCCCTCTGCAAGCTCTTTATGTGGATTGTGAGGGAAGGTGGGGATGTGGGAAGGCCTGGGTCATGCTCAGAGTGGGTTTTATTGCTGGGGCATGCTGTTCTGGTGGGACAGTTTGTGTGCTGTGGCTGTGATCACCGAGTATTGCTTGGGGCCTCTGTCATGGGGAGGGTGACTTTGAGTGAAGTTTCTTCACTGAGGAAATGGAGGTGCTGTGTAGGACAGGCACTGTGTGTCTGGGGAAGAACAGGAGAATGCTTAGCTGGAGACTCATTTCCCATAGCTTGGGATACAGGATTCGAGTGGAAAACCTTGAGCAGACACCTGTCACTCAGATTTGCTCGCTTGGGGTCCTCTCAGGCCCTCCAGAAGTTCTGCATATCCCTATTCCTTGGTGTTTTCCGTGTTTTTTCTGCCAGATGGGAAGATATCTGTCATACACGGCTTGGACGACTTACTTTTGGCAGTGTGATGTTTGTCAAATAGAAGCTTTTCCAAATATCAGTCTGATTTGGTCAGCATTCTCTGAACCTCTTCTTGTCTTCTTGGTTATGTATCTGCTCTTGTCTTGAGAGCGAGTGGAAGAAGTTTTCTCTGTAATCAAGAAGTTGACAAAACTGGGTTTTTGTTTGTTTGTTTGTTTGTTTTTTGTGGTCGAGTGGGACCTTTTGGTTTTCCAAGAACTTTTTTTTTTTTTTTCTTTTTTTCCTATTGGCAATGTGTTGGTTACAGTGGATGAAATGCAGGCTGCTGTGTTTTGTCACCTGTCAGGTGGTGGAGTTCACAGCAGTTCATCATCAATTTGAGGAATGGCTTTTCCAGCCTCAAAAGCTGATGTTGATGTTGGGAGAATGTCCTTAGCTTTCCAGTGTCCCTCCTGCTTCCCCTGTGATAAAAGTGCATAAGGGAGCACTGTGCTCTGTCCAGTGATTTCGAATGTGGGTCATTTTTCCCTGTCCATCTTCCACAGAAATCTCTGATAACATTAAAAGAAAATGTCCCTCAGAACCAATTTCCCTCCCCTGAATACGTTCCTTTTCTGAAGAAGCCACCAGTGATGCTACAGGTAAGTTGCTCCTACCTAAAAAAGATGCATTTAAGGGACAGCTGTGCTTTTATTCCCTTTTAGTCACATTATCTTCACCTTGCATTGACCGAATATTTCTTGTATTGGGAGCTGGACTTGATGATCCCTATGGGTCTCTTCTAACTTGAGATATCCAATGGTTCTGTAAATAGACCATCAAAGCACCACTACCTGCTCTCATACCTTTCTTCCCCGGTGCTTCCAGGCACAATGGGAGCAAGTGACAGCAACTGCAGATGAAAGAGGGCCATTAATGTGATTTTTGGAGTGAATGTTTTGGCGGTCGAGGATTTGTTCTCAATGAAAAAGATACCATGTTACCTTCATGGCTTTTGCTGGGTGGATCATGCTACCGAGTGAGAGTTATTCCATGGGTACTAATGCCCCTGGGTGTGGAGGTTCTTGCCCTGTGTATCTGGCAGAGGAGGTGGAAAATAAAGCCTGAAGAGTAACTCTTTATGGAAGTATATAAAGAGTACCTGTACGCTGTGGTTGGCCTGTTCTTTTTCAGCCTTCTTAAAGGATTGGTGTCTTAAAGGTTTGGCTGTGATGGGGAGTCCTCAAAGGAAAGAGTCCTCCAGCTTGTTTGTTTTCCTGGGAGCCTGTTTGCACCCATGCCAAAGTACCTGGGGATTGGGCTTGTGTTTCAGAGTGGTGGATTCTCTTCCTTGAGAGGACGGGGCTTAAAGAGTGTGGTTTCCTTCGAGAAGGGGAGGTGAAGGGGCATTCTGTCTGTCTTGCACTGACTGAAGATGAGAAGGAAGGTTGTTCCTTGTGTGGAGACAGGGAAGGCGGCAGAGGAGAGGAATAAGAATTCCTTCCAAAGGGTATGTCCGTGCTCCAATGGTGAGTGATTGAATCATATGGAAAACATGCTGGTTAAGGAGATAAAACAGAGAGACAAGGAGGCAAGAAGAAGGGGATGTGTGTATGCATAAAGACATGGAAAAGAAGACAAGGAGAAAAATAAAGAAGTAAGGAAGGAAGAATGCAGGGAAAGAGAAGCAAAGAAATGAGCAAGCAATAGAGAGAGAAAGGAACAAATTATAAACGAGTTTACTGGTACATCACGGAGGCCATCACAGCAAACAGAAAAGGAGGAGGGCAAGAAAGAAGGGAAAGAAAAAAAAAAAGAAGGAAAGTGACATGGGAAAGAAAAACAGAAGACGATATGAAGGATATGATTAGGAATGGAAAATGGCAAATAGGAGAAAGAAAGAAAGAAACAGCAAAGGAGGTGAGCAGTACTCACTGACCTACCTCTAGTCATTGAGCAATGTTCATTACCGAGATCCTCCGCCTTCTTCAGAGCACCACGCTCCGACACAGATGCCACGTAACAAGAGCTGGAGCTTCCGACTCTCACGGCCTCCACTGCGGCAATGGAGGCGACTGATGAGCTACCAGTGGCGGTAAGGAAAAAAAAATAAGGGAAAAGAAAAAGAACATAGGAAAAGAAAGAGGAGCAAAGCAAGAGCCGGCAGAGGAGACGCAGAGGCGCGGGCACTGTGTGGGATCGTGTGCGGCGGCGGAGCAGCGCACGGTGTCGCTGCAGGCTCAGGAACGGCGTGTGGGCGGCTCCGCCCCGGTGCGGCGGAGAGCCCGGCTGTGAGCGCGGGGGGGCGGCTGGGGCCGGGCAGCGGAGCCGGGGCGTGCGGGCGGCGGCGGGAGCCGTGCGGGGCCCGTGCGGCTGGGGCCGGA